ATTACCATGATTTTGGTTGCTTAAGTTTGCGTCTGGACTGAATGTACCTGGTGTGCTGAGGAAGTCTAACTGGTATGTGAGAATTCGGGAAAGATTTAAGAGAAAGAAGTGAATTGACGACTAACTGAATGAACTTACTTTTAAGAAGCGTAAGGCAAATTAGGGCTAATACACGAAGACAATGCACCCGCTATTTGCTTGGTGGCCTTGAACAAGTGAGCGAGGGAGCAACTGAGGCTTATAAACAAAAAAACTAAAAAGTTTAAGGGAATTTTCTGAGTTCTCAAACCGCTTCTAATATTTTCGTTATGAAGCATCTAATTTAAAGGAGTAGGTCTTTTCAAATCCGCTTCTTTGTACTATGTTACGGTCCCATGTCTTCGATTTCTTAAAATGTGGGTACTTTTGCCCCTCTGTTTCACTGAACCTAGTGAAATTGTGATATTTCCTCTATTTTAACACTTGAGAACTTACACTAGATCTCAGACAGACTTCAACCACCCAGAAGCTATGTGAATATTTAGTGATTTTGGCTTCCAAATAAAATCTAGTAATTGTGACCTGCAGTATATTTTCGTAGTGAAGCACTTATTGCTTTGAATTGTATTAAAATTTGCAAATTGCACCGATTCCAGCCAAAATATGATGTCTACGACTGTTTGAAATAGCTGACCTTACTCACCAAAGTAAAACTGTCCTAAATACACAACCTTCCTAGATTTCTATGAAGCATTCGATGAGTTATGGTGGAGTTGTATCACGGACATTAAGTATTGGAACATCTGAACGTGGAACATGTTCGCATATCATCCTGAAAGCCATTGATATTTCCAACATGGATTTTAATTGTACTCTCGGATTCATCCTAGTATTTTGTTCCATCATACTGCTTCTGTAAGCTAATTTATTGCCGTTGGAGAAGAAAAACACGTATTCATTCTCCAAAATTGTAGGCACCGAAGTGAGAGTCTAAGGTGATCTCGTTAATTCTTAACAAATAACATCAACAAATTATAAGGCTGTGTGAATTTTTAAATTTCATTAACAAAACGAGATTCAATCGACGGTAGAACATCATTGTGGGGCGTCTGTGTAGAATCCATGTTGAAGGGTTGGTTTCTGGGAAAACCCCTCCATGTATATATTTGTGTTATGATCTTGCTGACTCTTTCTGTTCAATATTTCGGTACTCTGTTTAATCCCAATTTCGGATGTTAATATTTGTATTTTGTTATAGTTCCTATTTTCTGTACTTTTATTGGAGTTTATATGTTTCCTTCTGAACTGTGTTGTTCAAATTGATACTTAGTATGGCTACAGCCATATCGGATTTGATACCTCTGCGGTAACTTCGTATTCTTGACTGGAAGGACGCATTCTTCCAAAATTAGAAACTCATTGTGTTAATTTCGGATCGGAATAGTATAATATTGTGTAGGTAGTTGTCTATATTCCCTTTTTGATTAATAATAGAACCGTTCTTGCCCAGAACTTGTGTTTTGAAATTGGACTGGGCAAGGCGCGTAACTGACTTCTAACAGTTTCCGAAATCAAGGTTCACTGAAGCGAATTTTCCATAGCCTGAAGGCCTCAAGTTAGTATTTGCTAGAAATATGTGGTTACCTTAGCACAGTTGCAGCAGACAGTCATCATTATCTGTTCTCTGAGTTGCGACAACATAACATCCACCTTGATTTCCTTCCTTCTCACTTAGTCCATCTACTTGAACATTGACGCCATCAGCCATTACTACTACAATACAGCGCCTAGCTTTTTGGAGGATGTCCGAAATCTTTCTGTAATTCTCATCTTTCACCTCGTCTGAACTGCAGTCAGTGGGAGCGAAGGCAGATACGACGAAGAGGCAACGGCGAGTGTCCCCATCTTTCCGAATCTTTACTGTCCCATTCAGTCGGACAGCGCAAAAGCGACTGTCTGCTGGGATCCAGTCTAGGAGAGATAGTTCTGCCCTAGGACCCAATGCTATACCTACGCCAGAAAGACCTCCAACAAGAAACACCGTGGCTTCCAGAAACACGAAGAGTATATCGAGTTGGTTCTTTACTTTGACAGGGTGAGATCAAGTTAATGATTTTACGACGATCCTGTATGCGCGTTTCCGAGACACAACAAACATCTATAGCGCGAGTCCGGAGCTATCAGTAAGAAGGATTGAAGAAGATAGGTAACCGACTTTCACCGAACTTACCGGATTTGTATTAGCTCAAGCTAGAATAGCTGGTAGCAGATTCGGTCGGCTGGTCAATCGACTTAAAATAGGACGGGACGTGAAGATGAGCTGCCACCTACAATCGAAACCTGCAAACATATCGACCATAAGACTTAATTGTAGCATTTGTACTGGCGATCATATGGTTACTAAATGCCCCCAGTTTTTAGAGCTTACCGTTCGAGATAGATGGAATCAAGTCAGAAAAAAGGGGATGTGTTTCATCTGTCTGAAGCAAGGACATAAGGCTAACGGCTGTAAAACGACAATGCGTTGTAGCGTCATGTTTTGTTGCATGAGGACTTGACCACCAAAAAGATGGATGATAAACGTGATTCCCAGCATTGTTGCGGACTTACTAGATCACTAAGCAGTCAGGTATGTTTAGGACTGATCCTAGTACGTGTGAGATCGAAAAAAGCCGAGATTATAGGATATGCTCTTTTGGATAACGGTTCCGATTCTACATTGATAACGTCAACATGTGCGAAATCGCTTGGGTTGCAGGAAGGGGCGTTGATCGTATCTAGCCTACAAAGACATAAGCCCACTATGTCAGCAATGAAGAATCTAAATAAGTGGCCGCACTTAAATGATATTCCAGTTGAAAGCCTAGACTCTGAAGACGTTTTAATGCTCATTGGTTGTGACGTTCCAGGAGTACATTGGGTGTTAGAGCAGCGGCTAGGTGGAAGGAAGGCATCGTATGCGGTAAAAACACTACTCGGATGGACTGTATTCGAACCTACATCATAACCAGAATATAGAAAAAGAGTTGTTAATCATATTAGTAGCGTGCAAGTTTTGGAGGACCAGATACGTAATCTGTATGATATGGAGTTTGCTGATGTCTATTCTAGTGACAAGTCAGTGTCTGTAGGAGACCAGGTAGCCTTTGAAATCGTGGAGAGAGGTACACACTTTGTCGACGGCCATTTTGTAGTTCTGATACCATGGAAACAGGACCCCTCAACGAAAGGGACTAATTATGAGGAAGCTAGTAATAGGCTACAGAGTTTGAAGCGAAGATTGATGAGAAACGATAGGTTGCGTGTCAGGTACGCTAAATGTATGGAAGATAACGTTTCTAAGGGCCATGCGCAAAGAGTACCTGAGTTGCATTCGAGGTCGGACTATCGTCCCCGGTGGTATTTACCTCACCATCCCGTGTTGAACCGCAAAAAACCAGATAAGTTGAGAGTGATCCTGGACTGTGCTGCTAAGTTTGCTGGAATCTCCTCAAACGATATGATCTATCAAGGGCCGGACAGCACCGCTGATCTGGTAAGCATACTATTACGTTTTCGCAAGGAAGCAGTAGCGGTATCGGCGGATGTTGAGGAAGTGTCTATGCAAGTGAAGGTACACGAAGGTGACAGAGGAGCTCTAAGGTTTTTGTGGTGGGAAGGTGGGGACACATCTGAAAATCCTTCTGAATTTCAGATGACCTCTCATTCATTTGGAGCAACTTCATCTCCGTTTTGTGCAAACATTGCTATGAATAAAACAGTCCAAAGCTTCTCGAGTGATTATGTACGTTATGTTGTGGATGCGGTGAAGAACAACGTTTACGTCGATGACTGTCTTATAGCCTTTTCAAGTTGTGAGCAAGCGAGGAAGCTTGTCATTCAGATAAGTCAGTTTTCACGAAGAGGCGGATTGAACTTAAAAAACTGAGTTACTAATTCAGATGAAGTGAGGTCTATATTACCGGATATTGGTAAAAAAGAGTCATTGTTGGGATAATCGGCGGATTGTACTGTTTATCATCGAAAGCTTGGTGTAGAATGGGATGTCGAACAGGACGTATTTAAGTTCCAATCTGATGCTAACGAGAGTGGAATCACTATAGGGAGTGCTGTTTCTTCGGTTGCTGATACTAATGTAGCTTCTTTGAGTACTTCAGATCAAGACGAAATTGGATGTTTGAGTGTGGAGAATGTAGGCGTCGGTGTCAATAGCGTCAGCCACAGTAATGGCACTACTAGGAAGGCTAACATTCAGTGCCCTAGGTGCAATGAGAAGTCATCTAGGTTTAATGGACGTGCTGTTGTGTTGAATATGCAACATGAGGAATCGAGCACGGAATTGTCCACCTGTCGCACTCCACCATCATTGACTTGTATTAAAAGATTCGGCATGAGCACTACCAACAGTGATAAGATAGATGAGATTAAGAGCATTCCTATTAAGGAAAGCAATGTTGATCGAGTAGAGTGTGACATTGTGCATGAGTCGGATGGATGTCATGAGAAGCGTACTACTACTTGTACAGCTGAGGCAACTAAGGATAATAGTGTTGATAATATAATATAATAATAATATATTTTCTCAAACAACTACGTTACAAGGGTCACGCCAGTTTACAGGCTAGATCAAATTATCACAAATGCTTTCACAATTACTGTAAAGTTATAGCAGTTAAATTAAGTATAAGAGTCAGTTTCTGATTGCATATTTACACCATGTCACTGACAGAAACAGTATTATACAGCCGCATTTTTAATAGTAGAGTAAAAATAAGGAAGGTGCACAATAGGTTCTTTTGGCGATTTGCCGAGATCAATAGTGAATTTGTTGGGAAAGGTCATATGGAACGCGCTTGATACGAGCTGTGATCCAGACAGTCATGTACATAGGGTGCATGTTCCCTAGAGTCGCCAAGGATTTCCCACCGTGAATGGGGTCCTGAAAAGGAGAAGAGAGAGAGAAAAAGGCAGCAGTGTGGCAAGTTTATATATATAACCAAAGCACTACTTAACCTGTCATGTTGAAGTAGTCAATACAGTAGTAAGTCAAGATAAAATTCATACTGACCACTTAAATTATATCATGGGAATATCAGAAAATAACACACAGCAAAAAGAAGGAAGAGTTGTGCAGTTTCAGGTGGATAGAAGATAAGTCGAAGTAAGAAGCTGGATTTATGTACGTTGAAATCGAAAGAGTAGAGTTTGTAAAAAGAAAACATTGACGATTAAAAGTTTTCA